GGGCATGCTGACAAGGTGAGACCATGCAGACAGCAGCCATCTCACTGCCCATATACAGTGAGTACCCACAAAGTGGTGATTCTTTGTTTGCTTGTTTGTTTGTTTATTGTGGGGGTTGCACACATGTCACAGTGCACACATGGAGGTCAGAGGAACTTGCAGGAGTTGGCTTTCTCCTTCCACTATGCAGGTGTTGTGAGTTGTTTCTCCACAGAAGACCACCCTGACATAAAATAATGCCAAAAGAAACTCTCATTAGCCAGCCAGTGACTACACAGGGCATTCGAACCCAAGTGGATGGTTTGTGAACCTGATCATAAGCTTCGCTGAGTTTGGCATCACCAGTCTCCATAAGAAATAGCAAAGGACAGGGGCTAGGGAGATGGCTCAGCGGGTAAAAGTGCTGACTGCTCTTGCAGAGGACCCAGTTTCGATTCCCAGACCCACATGGTGGTTATGAACCATCCTTAACTCCAGTTCCAAGGGATTCCAAAACCCTCTTCTGCCCTCTGCAGCATTGCAGGACACGGGTGCACTCACATACATGCAGGCAATACACTCATACACATAAAATAATAAAAAATTTTTTAAAAGAAATAGCAAAGAACAATCGAACTTTGGCCAACTGAGTCAGGAAACCCAAAACCCAGGATGAAGCTGTTTCCCGTTGCCTTTCTGAAAATTCAAGCCACCCTAGAGGGCTTCCTTCTGAAATGCTGTATGACAGCTCCTTCCTGATTGCTACTTTCTGAGTTAATGGAAACACAAACCAAAGAGGATTCACTGAGGATAGAAGACACACCCCAACATGGGTGGTGCCGGTTCATGAGTTAGGGGCTCGGACTTAAGAAAAGGGGGAAATGGAGAAATCATGATAAGGTCCAGCATTCTGGGCTGTTTCCAGATCCATGGAGATGTGAGGAGTGCCAGCCCCTCACCGCTGCTGCCATGAACTGCACCAGCACCTTCTCCAATGATAGGCCAACATAAATTCTTTTAGTTGATTTTTGGCAGGTATTTGATCACAGCAATGGGAAAATTAAATAATACAGAATTACGTCTTCATATCATGCCTGTCCTTTCTGCTGCCTCAACCTATGAACAGACCTTAGCTCTGCAGGTCGACAGAGGATCATTTGGAATGGCTTTTTCCAAGAGGTAACCCAGCTTTTACCTGTCCTATAGCTACCAGAGTGGCTGTTTCTTCTAAAACTCCCTTCCACTCTTACACATTTTCTTCTTTTTTATATATATTTTATTTATTATATGTGTATGAGTACAATGCCTGTTTGTAGGTGGGTGCACCAATGACGTGCAAGGCCCACGGAGGTCAGAGGAGGCTGTTGGATCCCTTGGAACTGGAGTTATGGATGGTTATTAGTCACCATGTGGGTGCTGGGAATCGAACCCCAATCCTCTGCAAGAACAGCTAGTGCTCTTAACCTCTGAGCCATCTCTCTGGCCCCATATTATACATTTTCTTTATTCTTTCTTTCTTTCTTTCTTTAGTTTTTCCATTTACTGAAACATTGACAGTCCTTTATCAGCCTTATTATGCAAGGGTGTTTGTGCAAGATGCCAGTTCTAAGAATGATTCATCAGTTACTGATGGGATTGACCACCTGTTAACCAGCCTATCAGCTGCAGCACCAGCTGCATCTTCCAATGAGAGAACATCCTTGAAACCATGCCCATGACTAGAAAGTCACCAAATTAGCCCATCCCATAAGTGCACGCACCCTGGTCCCCTCTCACAGCTGTTCCCTTTCTCTTCTTGAACCCAAGCTCCAATTCAACACTTGCCTCTCATCTCCCATTCCTGACTCTATTTCAGTTCAATCACACTCATGCCAAACATACCATCTTTGGTATCAGCTCCCCTAAGTGGGTTAGTAAGGAGGGTGAGACGGAGGTTGGCATTCAGAAAGGACCGTGTTTGGTGTGTTGTTTTGGTCATGAGTAGCTCAGAAGTTGGGACTGTTACTTTCCATTTCAAGACCTCGGTATATATAACCCAGAGGATGCATGTGTTGTGAGTCTGATGCACAGCTAGTGAGAGGAGCCACTTGCTAAGGACTGCGGGGTCCTGTCCAAGGAGAAGCTTCCTTGGTAAGTTGAAGACTTACGTCTATTTCTTATCCTCATAGCAAATCTGAAAGAGGTCACAGGTATGGCAGCAGCAGAACTGGACTTGCAGCCAGGTTAGGTCTGACTGCTCCTCTCTCTCTCCTAAGTGCAAAGAGGGTATGGAGAGCCCCTCAGATATGATCACCAAGCTGCCTGGGGCACTGGGCAGGGGGGTGGGTCAGCTTAGGTTCTAGTATGCCTGAGACATGGCCAGAGGACTTCAAAGGGAAAGTGACTTTTCTTGGTGTTCAAAGCCTTGGGATGTGGATAAAAAAAAGAGAGAGAGAAGGCATTCAGAAGACCCAGACCCACCATCCTTATAGAGTGGATACCCAAAGTTAGTCCAGAGCTGTTGCTGTTGAGGCTGAATAGGTACAAAGTTTGGTTTTTCAGATACAAGTGTCTTAGAGGATTCTAGACAAAACTTTCTCAGCAGTGTGGGGAAACAGGCCACAGAGACAGTGACTGTCCATCCTAGAAAAGAGGCTGAGAAGGTAGAGTGTAGGCCTGTGCCCCACTCCCTTGTCCTCACCTGGTTTCTGCCAGCCTGTGGGGAACGGAGGAAGAAGCACAGGCCGTGCTGTGTTTCTGGTAGAGAAGGGGTACAGACACGGGGACTGAGAGGGACAGGTTGCAAAACTATGTCCATGGGACCATCCCAACTCTAATCATGAGATCAAAAGGCAGACAGACCTCTGTATTTGAAGAAGAGATGATCCCACAGACTTTGGAGTTGTTAAAATCATACTTGTGCTTCTATCTGAGTCAGAGGGCCAGTGTTGACTGCCTCTGTGCTCCCCAAGTGCTCTGTGATATCAGTTTCTCCTTGAGTCTCTTTTTTCCTGTCCTGCCCAGTAGGCCACTGCCCACCTCTTGGTGAGATGGGAGGTGGTACACTGGGAGGAAGAGGACAGTGGGTCCTGGGAAGACAGGTGCCACAGGGCCCATAGGAAAGTAAAGCAATGGAAATATCACATGGTAGGTTAGGTAGGGAAGAAATTCTGGTGATGGCATGGCCCCTGGAACCAGGGCACTTCTCATAGTCAGGGAGATGGAGAGGCCTCTAAGATCCATGGGGTGGAGGTGGGGGTTCAAGGAAGCAGGATCTTCACTAGGCAGGATGGCTGTGCTGGCTGAAAGGTTTGAATTTGATCCTGGGAGGTCATTAAAGATTGTTGAAGGGAGCAAGCTGTCTTAACTTCTTCTTTCCCTCCACCCAAAGCCTTGCAGTCACTGTCTGGGTGAGGTCTTGCTAACCTCTGCTGTCCTGCATGTGGACAGCTCAGGCCTCAGCTAATGAAGGGAGGAGCCCTATCTGAGACTTGCCGCTGGCTGGGAGCAGGACCCAGTATCTGCCATCTCAGCTTCCCCCCAGCAACCTTTCTGGGAACTAAGCTTCAAAAGGTCATCCAAGGAGACTCCCTGTTTGCCAGTCCGGCAGGAGGAAGCACTATCCCACACCAGCCCCAGCTGAGGCCCAAGAAAATGTCAGAGCAGGACAAAGGGTAGGAAGGAAGGATGAGACCAGGGTGCCGACGCTCAGACCAGCGTGTGGGACCCCAGGACCCCGGCTCCCTCTTACTGTTTGTCACAGAAGAGTTGTCTTGGTGTCTATCCACTTTGAAGTGATGACACCAGAAACAAACTTTTTATTGTGGTTAAGTAGTTACCAACTAGGAGAAGTTATTTCTTTTTCATTTAAATGGTTTTTAAAATCAAAGTAATAAGTGTGTCTAAGAAAAACTAATTAGTACAGAGGGTTGTACCTACACACTTTTCCAGTAAAAAAAATGCTTTGAATTTTTAAGTTTTTCATTAAGAAATTAGTGAATATATATATATATATGTATTTTTTAATGCTCAGGATATGTTAATATATCTAGTGTTCCAACACTGGGACACTGGGAATAGATGAGAGTGTTTGCCCTGTAAATAAGTTCGCCTTCTAATGTAAGATGAGTATGTAACTCCATTGAGCTCAAAGTCCTTATCTGGAAGGCTCAGAGTGATTTTCTCCCAGGGTCACAGTGAGAATGGCAGGTGAGCCAGGGCCAAAGAGCCCTTGGGATGCTGCCTGGTACAGAACAGATAGGCAGTCAGTGTTAGGTCTTAGGCTTTCTTTCTCTTGATTTTGAATGCACATATCATTGATTTATTTTCTTAGGGCAAATACATATGTCACTTACATTTGCTCTCAGTGGGCTCTTCCCATCCTCTTCTAATACCCTTGATCCACCAGCTCTATATTCTTTATTAGAAACTTTGTGGCTGCAATTCATTTCCTAACAATGAAGACGAGAACCTGGTACAGAGTACAAGGCTTTAAATGTTGAAGGACGAGAGTCATTCACAATACACACACACAGGAGCCAATACTGTTGTATTTCTAAGTGGAGCTTAGTCATCTAAGAGGAGAGAAGTGGATCAAAATGACTTGGATTCAAGTCCTGGCTCTAAGGTATTGAAAAAACATGGATACCTGATATGACCTTTGTGATTGATCCTGTTGCTTTAGCATAGGGGTCAGACAGGTCCTCATCTCATGGATGTGGTCTCCATGTAAGGAGCCCAATGCATCATAGACACTTGAAAAATATTATCATCAGTTCATACATTCACACATCCTCAGCTTCCAGAACATTTCTTACCATCTTTCCTTTGCCTCCAGACTCAATGTTTTCTTCTATGGTCATGTCCGTAGCTGATTACTTTCTCCTTGAACACTAACAGGAGCGGAATCCTCTGCCTTGGCAGGGGTGACGGCTGAGGGTGGTGGAACCAGATGACTGACTTCTTTAAATAGCAGTGACAGAATCAGGGGAAGAGAAGTACTTTGAGTCCCTTTAGTCCTTGGCAGGCACAGTGGAGGGATCTGCAGCACAGCAGCTCCCTGCCCACCCATCTCCCGTGCAGCTGTCCCCACTCCATCCCACAGTATGTGTTCTCCTTCTACAGCCTGGACTCCCAGCAAGCTGGAAGGGAAACCTCTCAGAGACCCTGTGTTTGGCACCATGGACAAAGCAGCCTGCACAGCCTCCCCAGGTAATCATTTTTAAAAATATTTTACTTTTTATTTTTATTTTATGTGTATGTGTGTATTGCCAGCATGTAGATAAGTGCACCCGTGTCATGCAATGCCCATGGAAGACAGAAGAGGCTGTCAGATCTCCTGGAACTGGAGTTACAGACAGTTGTTAGCTGCCATGTGAGTGCTGGGATTAGAACCCGGGTCTTCTTCAAGAACAACCAGTGTTCTTAACTGCTGAGCCATCTCTCCAGACCCACAGCATGTAATCTTGATCCTCTTCTCTGCCTGCTTCCTGCTCATGGCACCCGGGTCTTCTTCAAGAACAACCAGTGTTCTTAACTGCTGAGCCATCTCTCCAGACCCACAGCATGTAATCTTGATCCTCTTCTCTGCCTGCTTCCTGCTCATGGCCTAGAACCACATGGGCCTCCACACTAAGTGCTGCTGAGGAGTTGAGATGGGAGGCTGAGAACCTAAAGGGGAAGAAAGAGGATCTCTCTTTCCTGGGTCTGTGAGGCTCCCCTCCTTGGCTCTGTCCTGCAAGTCATCCCCAGAGATCATCTCCTCTCTGCCCAGTCTCTTCACGTGGAGCCAGGACAGTCTAGGAAGTAGAGGGCACCAGGGGAGGTGTATGCAGGAGAAAGGAAGGCAACCAGAGGTGGGAGGAATAGGGAAGACTTAAGGAAGACCTCCACCTGGAAGAGTCTTCTGCCTTCTCACCTGTGCTTCCCCTTCAGCTGATTCCAGGGCATTCTTCCTTAGGAAGCTGCCCCACCATCCCAGCTCAAGGCCCAAGCTTCTCTAATTGGCTCAGCAGAAGGAATGACTTACTGTGCCTCTGAACTGTGAGACTTTTGCCCACTGCGATCTCTGTGACCTGGAAGACCTCACCTCAGCAGTTCGATGAGAAAAATGTTTCTCCATGTAGTCTTTGAGGATTCAAATAACGTGTACATGGCCAGGCCAGAGCCTGGTGCACAGAAAATCCTTCCTGGTTGTCTCTTCTCCCTAGACTCCACTAACGCCAAGTGAATCCCATCTCCACCACACACTGTGTTAGAGAACATGTCCTGCACCATGCAGGATCAGCACTTGCTTACCCAGTGTGCCCACCTCAGGCAAGGCCTCACTCTACTTCTCTCAAGTAAAAAAAAAAGAAAGAAAAGTCTAAAGTTAAAACAGGTACCCAGAAATTTCCTCCAGCCAAAAACAGCCTTGCACCCAGAAAAAAACCCTTCACCCAGAAACTATACTCCACCTCGAAACTGGCCTCTACCGAGAAACAACAGCCCAATGTATACCAGACCCCTAACTCCTGTTTTCTCAGACCTCTGTCCTTTACTCCTTCAGTTGCTATGACAGTCAAGTCTGCTGTTTGGCCCTCAGGGGTGGAGCACAGCAGTCATACTGAAGAATACAGGGGAGAGCAAAAACGCCACTGAGAAGCCAACTCAGTCAGGAGAGCTGCCTTTAAGGAAATAACATTTGATGGTCTGTAGGAACACCTGTTCTTTGTGGAAATATAAGTTAGCCTGGCCACTGTAGAAACCAGTGTAGAGATTCCTCAAAAAATCTAAAAGTTGAACTATCATATGATCAAGTTATATCACTCATGTGTATTTATCCAAAGGACTCTAAGTTCTTGTACTAGAGCGGTACCTGTATATTGTGTTTTTTGCAGCACTATTCGCAATAGCCAAGAAATCAGCCTTCACACACATCAACATGTGAATGGATTTTAAAAAGTCATATATATAACTGAATTTTATTCATCCATGAAGATGACTAAAATTATGTCAATTTTAGGAATATGGATGGAACTGGAGATCATCATGCTAAGAAAAATAAGTCAGACTTTGACAAATATTGAATGTTTTCTTTCATAGATGAAACCTAGACTACACACACGCACACGCACACGCACATGCACACAGGACATGAAAGTCAAACAGAATATTTAAGAAGAACAGGACTAGTGGGAGGAGAGGGTAATGGTATATGATAAATGAGTGAAAAGGGCATTTTGAAACTCATCACCTTGTCCATTGAATATACACTAATAAATTTTGAAAAAGAAACACAGAAAAAGATAAGGGAGGGGAGTAAGATTAGAGGCCAGGATTTCCCAGCAGTCCTTGGGATCCTTGGGGGATATGGATTCCTCAGAGGAAATGCTCTCTCTTTAATAAATGGGGCAGGCAGGGTTCTTAGATGCCAGTGTTGTACCAGGCCCCGATATATAGAGAGACCACAGATCAAAGTAGAGGGTGCCCACCCCACTCTCCCCACTGCCTGTCTCAGAGCATCCATCACTGGCAGGATTAGTCCTGGAAGTTAAACTGAGAAGCGTGGTATTTGAAATATTGCTCTCAAATTTAAGAACCTCCCCAACAGATGCACTATAGCGTACAGAAATCACAGGGTCTTGAAACATGCGTCTTCAAGATAATGTCAGAAAACAGATTGGCAAGTCGGCCTTGAGTTCAGACCCTGAGCTTTCTGCTTCCTGATTCAGCTGTCACTTCCGTCTGAGCCTCACCTCCTCCTCTGAAATAAGAATATTATTGCCCTTGTGTGGACACACTAGGAAAGGCATCTTACTCCACCAGCTTCACACACATAAATATGCTGTCCTCGGTCCTTTCTCTGTAATACCTAACTTCCACATCCCAGGAAACTACACACTTTTTAAGCAAATCACTTGGACAGGAGCCTGACCGCTGCTGGCCTGAGAATATTTATTTGCTGCTTGTAGACCTCATACCGTGTTAATGTTCGGTTGTTTCACCTAGCCATGAGTGAGTGCATTTGCTACTGGATCGGCAAATAAAAAAGCACTGTGTCCTGTTTGCCTTTTCTGTGCTTTCCTTTCCTTCCCCTGGCTTCCTCCTCCAACTCCACCTCTCCCAGTCAAGGTCTTACTATGCAGTCCAAGCTTACCTCAAACTCTCAGTCCTCCAGCCTCAGGGATTATGGACCTGGACCTCATCTCAGAATACCCTTTGTCAAAAACTAGAAACTGTAATTAGTTGAATAACTCGACCAACTAGTAGAGAGCAAGTCTTAAATATTCTTAAACAAAAAAATGATAAATATTTGACCTAATAACATATCAATTACCCTGAAATATCACATGGTAGTCTATGAATACAAACAATTGCTATAGGTCAATTAAAGTAGAAAATTCAAAACTCACTTAAAAATATTTTTTAAAGCCAGATGTGGTAGTACACACCTTCAATCCTAACACTCAGGAGGCAGAGGCAGGCAGACCTCTGTGAGATCAAAGCCAACCTGGTCTACAAAGCAACCTGGTCTGGCCAGCTGGGGCTACAGGGAGACCCTGTCTCAAAAAGACCAAATATTCACAGTAAAAGTGAATATTTATTTATTTATTGCAGTGTGAGCAAAGA